GGGTGTGTGTGTGTGTGTGTGTGTGTGTGTGTGTGTGTGTGTGTGTGTCCCACCCTCCATGATTTTAAATCTAAAGCACACAAGTAAACACACACAAACAAGCTGAGCTGAGATGTGCTCCAACATGCGGGTATGTTGGTGAGAGCAGACGGACAGATGTTTGTTTTTAACATTCTTCAACGATCCTCTGACAACATAATATCAGAGGAGAGCAGCCTGGCAGCATCGGTACATATGTTCTCACACGGCTCGTCGTGCTGAACAAGAAAGAACTGTTTTCAGACCTCAGAGTGCGTGTGCTGTGAGACGGCCTCYACACAAACTGAGGAAGAAACACTCAACACGTTATTCTCGTGTAACTGACAAAGCTGCAGTTTGTGAACATGCTGGGGTTTTTTTACATTTCTTCTAACAAGGTCAAATTCAGTGTTTTACTTTTGAAACGTTTGATTTGAGTTTGTTAGGAGTTAAAACAAATCTAATAATGTAGCAGCCAGGATGCTAACATCTATAGCCACAACCAGGTCAAAGTTTGACCTAAACTGATCCAGAYGAGTGGCGTTAACAGGGTTAAACACTGATCTTGTTGACGTTCCAACAATACCCCTAGTTTCAGGTTTAACTTATGAAAACATCTCACAGAATCCCTGCATTAGTAAAATGCTTCTGTTTTGTCTTTAAACAAATCAATGCACCAAGTTTTGCATCCTCAWAACCAACAGATTGTTGAAGCAGAGGATTTAAACTTGGACTTTATACAACACTCCCWCAGCATTATCCATTTGTTTGACCTTGTGTTCTTATTTTTAATTTTCAATAATTAGTAAGAGTGTTTTACATTTTACACCAGTTTAGAGGAGGAAGACAGAAAAAAGAAACAGTGAGCAAAACTTTAAGTTTGAATGTATGAAGGCAGACAGAGGACATGCTGAGGAGCTGTTTTCATGGTTTCATCAGCAGACGCTACACTCTTTATCTTGTTATCTTGATACAATAATCATTATCTTTTATTATTGTACAAAAAAATCTTCGAAGTTTAGGAAGCAACAGACTCAAACATGTTGTGCTGTTTGGAGTCCTCTAAGGTAGAATATTCCTTTAATTTAAACTTTTATCACATTCAGAAAAACTGTAATTTGTGAAAGTATTTAGTTTGTGTAATTTCACCACACATCTCCTCACTGAGACAGTAGTGTGTGTGTGTGTGTGTGTGTGTGCGCGCGCGCGCACAGGAGGTGAGTGATTCCTGGAGGTGCAGGACGTTGTAGCAACATGTTGAGAAAATATGCACAAACAGCTTTTTCACCGCAAAGCTGGGCACAAAAATGCAAATACACACATTCACACAGCTTTACAAGTGAGCGGCGTCTCGTTTTCACCTGCTGATGCTGAGTTCCAACACTCCTTCTGTCACTGCAGCGCCTCCAAAAATACATTTTATTYGTTTGTGTGCAAAACTCAAAAAAGATGTTCATTCTTGATCTTTGACTCTAGAGTCTCATTTTATGTCCGTCTTTCTGTGGAATCCTTTATGCTTCAGGGCGTTTGAGTGAAAATATTAAAGAAATGTTGCAAAATATACTTTCAAAATATAGATTAAGACTCTCAGACTTAGATTTAGGCTTCAGAATTATGGAGGTAGAAACATTAGAATCATTAGCCTGCACTGTGCTGTCCTAGAGTCCAAGTTTTGGTTTCAATGCAACCTAAACTCTGTGATCTGACCGGAACAAAGTTCTGGAGTCACGGCTGGATCTCTGGGTTTTATTGTGTGACTTTGTTRCTCGTTTACAAATGTCCACAGACTGAGTCTACAAGAATGGAAACTGCATTATATACAATTTATTTAAAAGTGTGAAATAAGATGACCATGAATGAAACTTAAATCTTTTGAAGAGGGTTTCTGTAGAAAGGTGGGATAAACAATGTCTTACCTGTTGCAGATAGTTTTTTGAACCTCACTTTGCAGAAATAAAGTTTAATAA